TGCCCCAGCAGCCGGTCCCACTGTCTTGCCTTGCTTGGATGTTTCCAGGACACTTGGATGTTCCCAAACATCCTGCTGTTCTACCCCGAGGCTGCCCGAGCCATCCTGGAGTACCGGCTGCGCACGCTGGACGGGGCGCTGTGCAACGCGCGGGAACAAGGCTACCAGGTGGGGCAGGGACGGGGCACCACCAGCAGCCCTGCCACCGGGGAGGGCAGCTGGGCTCTGCTCTTCCTCTCTGCGCAGGGCATGGCCCGTGGGTGGGCAGGGGAGAGCCCCTGGAGCTGTGCCCAGCTCCCTCACGGGTGTCTTCTCGTGGCAGGGTGCAAAGTTCCCGTGGGAGAGTGCAGCCACTGGCCGGGAGGTCTGCCCCGAGGAGATCTATGGAGCCCAGGAAATCCACGTCACCGGGGATGTCCTGATGGCCTTTGAGCAGTATTACTGCACCACACAGGTACAGGGAGCCTCTGCCACCTGGGTGGCCCAGTGACAGGGCCTGCAGGGCCCCTGCTGCCTGTCACCTCCCTGCCCCTTCCCAGAGCAACCCTGCTGCTGCCTGCTCCTGTCAGAATTGCTGGTGGCACCTCAAGGTCCTCTCTTCAGCTTCCTCTGTCCTTGCTCCTTGTGGGTGGCTCAGCATCCTCTTGGCTCAGTCCAGGCCAGTTTTCAGACCTTTTCTCCTACTGCATCTGTCAGAGCTCCTGTCCTCCTGCTGAGCTCGGGGCTGGTTCAGTCACCCTCATGCCCCTCTTGTCCTCTGGCTTTGGGTCCCTGCAGGACCAGAAGCTGTTCAGGGAGGATGGAGGCTGGCAGCTGGTGGGTGCTGTGGCTCAGTACTGGTGCAGCAGGATGGAGTGGAGCGAGGAGGAGCAGTGCTACCACATCAAAGGTACTTCTGCAACGGCCAGACCTGCTGGTAGGGAAGGGGTTTGTGAGCAGAGGCTCAGAGCCCCTCCAGCCAGGCCTGGGTGGGAGGCCACAGGCGATGGTTGTGTCCGTGTGACCACAGGATAAAATGCTCAGTTCTCTTCCATATCTGTTGTGTTTTCTCTCAGCCCTTGGCCACTCGTAGGGCACCTCTAAATGAACAGCTACACAAGCTGATGCCACAGGTGTGCTGTGGGTCTTGGGGTCTTGGGGTTTGCTGTGCCTGGGGGCATTTAGGGAGAGCAGCGTAAGGGCTGTAGAAAGGAAGGACTTTTCCAAGAGACCTGAGTTTAAATCCCACTGGAGCCCACAGGAGTTGAATCCCTTGAAGGATACGTGGTGCTGGTGGTGCTGAGTGAGTCTGAGCACTGGTACATCTGGCACAGCAGAGGGTCTTGCTGCAGGTCCTGCTGGAGCACGTTGTGTTGGATCAGCACAGGTTACCACTGATGGGCTTCCAAAAGGGGCACTGAGGAAGAAGAGAGGTGAAGGAGAGGTGTTTGTGGGGGCAGGGTCTGGAGAAGGCTGAGTCAGGGCAGAAGGGTCTGAATGGGGTGATCAGAGCTAGAAGAACCCCTGGGGCTACTGCAGGCTGGCTCTTGGTGTGAAGGTCCTTTGCAGACAGTCCCAGTTCCCCCACGGGAGTCACATATTTACATGTCTATTTTCATGTTTCTCTTGGAAGTGGCCATCTCTCCTTGGGATAATCTGCAGCAGAGGAAGGAGTTGAGCTTGTTAGCAAGGGAAAGATTGGATGACTTGGCTTAACTGCTGGAAAGAATTCATGACTTGAAGAGCCCCTCAGGCTGGGGTACCTGCTGCCCAGTAGCCAAGCTGCCAGCCGGGTTGTTTCTCCTTCACAACAAGCACCTTGATGTTCTCCAAGGTCTCGGTGGGATCCTGCCAGAAGCTGAGAGGCAGCACGTGGGCAGGGCCCCTCCTGCCCCTGCCCCCAGGAGGGGCACAAAGCCGTGCACCCCTGGCTGTGCAGAGTGTGAGGTGTCCCCTCCGTGTCCCTCCAGGTGTCATGCCCCCAGATGAGTATCACTGCCTGGTGGACAACTCTGCCTACACCAACGCCGTGGCCCGGCGCAGGTAACACCCCCGAGCTCCCACCTTCCCTCCCCACCTCTGAGCTGCCCGTGCCCTCAGCAGGACAGAGCAGATCCGTGGCGGTTCTTCTCACCTGTCACAGGTGTCCACAGCAAGAGTGAGGGAGTTCATGTGGCAGGAGGGTTTATCTCCCTGTGTTTTATGAGCTGTCTGTGCCATGAGCCAGCTGGAGGCACGTGAAGCTGGAGGAGCAATCTCCTGGCTCCAGCCATTAAAGTGTTTACCCCAGGCTTAAACTTTGACCCGTGCTCTTTCGGTGTAGCTACTTTTTTTGCAGCTATGGCTCAGTTCCCAATTTCTGTTCCCTTTCTCTTCTCCCCCCTTCCCCCCCTCTGAGGGGATCACCAGCCCCCAGGCTTGACACAAAGCCTTGTTCCTCACTTCTTTTCAGCTTAGACTTTGCAGCTGATGTGGCTCGGGACTTCTTGGTGCCTGTGCCAGAGGAGTGGCTGGACTGTGCCAAGAGAGTCAAAGTGCCCTTTGATGCAGAGAAGAAATACCATCCTGAGTACGATGGCTACAGCCCAGGTGAGCAGAGGGGCAGGAGCTGAGCCCCCAGGTGGCTGCTCACAGGGACAGGAGCAGCAGCTGGACGTTTGCCCCCAGTGAAGATCTCCAGGGCAGTGCTGGGGCTGCAGTGTGGACAGCCTGGCTTGAGGGTGCTCTTTCTGCTCCTGGCACATTGCTTCTCCTCAGTGGGCTCATAAAATTAAGAGATTTGGGAACATGGGGAGTAGGAAGAGACTTTTAGTACTGGGATGCAGGTGCCATGTTTGCTGTGAACTGTTGCTGACGGTTAGGTCTGTCTTCCCAAGGTCAAGTGTTGCCCTTCCAGTGATTCCTGCCCCTCTGGCAGTGGTGGGGCTGGTTCAGGGGACATGCATGCCCAGTTCAGTGTCCCTGTTCTCAGTTAGGGGCAGGGTGCAGGGATGGCAGCAGCTGTTCCTTTGTCCCTGCAGTTCAGGTGACATCAGTCTGGCTGCCATCTAGTTAGGGCTGTGCCAGCGTCACAGCTTCCAGCAAACACAGTGCCAATGACAAGCCCTGATGTGCTGTTAGCAGCCAGCAGTGAGGTGTCCTCCCTGCAGTTCCACCATCTTCCCTGTCAACGTTGTGTTTGTTGTCCTGAGTTTATGATTCTGAGACAGGTCTGTTCCCGTATGAGTAAACAAACAGCGGGGCTGCCCGTTGTTCCCAGCCCGTTGTTCCCAGCCCATTGTTCCCAGCCCATTGTTCCCAGCCCGTTGTTCCCAGCCCGTTGTTCCCAGCTGCAGCCCACAGCCCGCCTGACTCCTTTTGCCAGGTGAGCCTGTCAAACAAGCTGATGTTGTCCTGCTTGGGTTCCCCCTGATGCACCCCATGAGCCCTGAAGTCCGAAGGAATGACCTGGAGGTCTATGAACCCGTCACCGAGCGGGCCGGGCCGGCCATGACCTGGGTGAGAAAAGGGGCAAAGCCCACAGGGGGATTTGTCTGGGTCCCACCTGAGTCACTGCTCTCCCCATCCGTGGGCAGGATTTGTCAGACCTGCTGAGAGCATGGACAGGTAGCACAGAACCAGAGCTGTGCACTGGAGATGCCCCCTCTGGGCTGTGGTGCCACTCTGAAGCCTTGGCTGTCTGGTCACCCCTGGGGGAGCCAGCACCTGGTGGAAGGTCATTTCTGTCCCTGCAGAGCATGTTTGCAGTGGGCTGGCTGGAGCTGAAGGAGGTGCAGAGAGCCCAGAGCCAACTGAACAAGTGTTTCAGCAACATCACGGAGCCCTTCAAGGTGAGCTGGGTGGGGTGGCTGCTCCCCTGGGACAAACACCTGGCCTGACCCCCAGCAGGTCCCACCCCACGGAGCTGTCCCTTGGGCTGGGGCTGCCCTGGCTGCTCTGTGCTCACGGGGCTCTTGGTGGCTGTGCTGGGGAGCTGGGTGCCTGCCCACTCTGTGTCTTCTCTGTGTGCTCCTGGGGAGTGGGGAGGAGGCATCTGCTTCCCACCCAACAATGCAAAGCCCAGCTTGGTGTGTGCTCACCCCAGGCTTCCCTCCTCCTGCTAGGGATGGAAAAGGGGTTGGAGATGGTGGAGACTGGAGACCCATCAGAGCCCATCCACCAGGACAGGCAGGAGGGCACGGTTATTGTCACACCCCAGACACGTGACAGTGATGATAATAAACCCACAAAGCTGTGTGAAGAGTCCCAGTGCCATTGCTGAGTCATTTCCTTCTCTTGCTGGAACAGATCTGGGTGGAGAATTCGGATGGGTCAGGAGCTGTGAACTTCTTGACAGGAATGGGTGGATTCTTGCAAGCCATCCTGTTTGGCTACACAGGGTTCAGGTGAGACCCAGGTTAACCAAATACCTGTCACTTGAAAGCTTATTGCTTAGCTGGAGCAACGTGTTTTCACTCATGAGAGAGAAAGGAACTTGCAGCATCCAGAACATCCTATACACGATACACTGGTCTTTCTAAGGGGAGCTTGGTAACTGGAGACCCTAGTCCTCCACCACATGGAGCCTTAGGTCTATTCCCACTTTAAAAACTGGAAACAGTGCTGGAACAGATAAGAGACTCTCCAGGTCAGCTGCTTAGTTGCACCTTTGGGAAGGTAAATGTCATTTCCTAAGTTTAGGAACAGCTATAACATTGGCTTAGCTATAACATTGTCTGATCTCCCTTGGATGTGGTGTGGAAAGACCTTCTGAAGAGCCTGCTGATCACAGGCATGTGGAAAGTGCTTGGCTGGCATCACCACAGCACTCAAACATCTTGGAAAAAATGCTATTTGGCTGGTCATGTAATTTCAGAGCTGTGTTGTGTACCCAGAGCAGCCTGCTGGTGTCAGCCCCACGGCCACAGTCTCCCAAAAATATCCGCAGTGTAATTGAGGAGGGATCGAGCTGATGAGCTTTTTGATCTTCAGCGAGCTCTCCTGGCACTAACTATGTGTTTCTGCTCTGTGTGTGTGGTCAGAGGCTGCTGAGAAAGCCACCAGTTTCTTGATGGAGCTGGGTGTGAGCTGCCGTGTTCCCAGCCGAAACCCCTCGTCTCGCCCCTGTGGAGCTCCAAGCTCTCCAGCCTGTCCGTGTGTGTCAGGTTGGGACCCTCAGCACAGGCTCAAGGCACAGCCAGATTTGCACAGATGTTGAGATGATGTTTACACAGCCCTTGAGGCCACGCTCTTGCCTTGCCTGTTGTAAGCCACGGGCCCTGGCTGCCCTGCCCTCCAGGCTCTCCAGCATCTCTGGAGTCCACTTGAGTCCCTTGAGCACACTCAACAGGCTGGAGATGATGGTCAGGATCTCTCACGTGTCAGGATTTGAGTAGGAATTCTTCTTTTCACCCAAAGCTCAAAGACACAAATGGGCTCTGTTGGGCCTCAGGCGAGGGCTCAGAGGAAGGATCCAAGCTCTTTGTTTGGTTTGCCAGGATCACCAGGCCCAGCCTGCGCTTCGACCCCGCGCTTCCCGAGGACGTCAACAACTTGGAAGTCACTGGTGTCTCCTACCTTGGCAACAAACTGAAGTTCACCATCACCAAGGGAGAAATCAGGGTCCAAGTGACCGAGGCTCCCCAGGACCCTCCGGCGTCTCCCCTGGAAGTGGTGCTGGAGGGCTCAGGGCAGCACTTTCCCCTGCGGGAAGGTACGGTGGGTGGCACCACCCGGGTCTGCTTCCTGAAATAAGGACAATCTGGGGACCTGCCATTCCTGAAGCTCACCCAGGCTGTTTTTTGTTGTAGGGCAGAGTGTCTCCTTCCCCACAGCAGCTGGCTGGATCCAGAGGTCATCCACCCACGCTTCAAACCTGGGCTGAGCTGGGATGTACCCGCCACAGCAGCAGGAACGAGCTGAAGGGGGAGGTTGGTGGGGGGGGGAGGAGACGG